TTGCAGTATTATATAAAATAGGAGAATCCATAAGATGTTGACAGGGCACTGTTGGGATGCTTTTTGCATCCCAGGTACTCTCCAGGGCACTCCTTGCATATCCTTGCAAGGGATGGAAACTAAAATCCAAAGTTTCACTCATGCTGTACTTTGCGCTTCACTCAAATTGCCAAATGATCAGAAAATCACATCTGCATCATTTGTTTCGCTGTTGCACTTCCCACATTTCACATTGCCACATTAACATTCCCTCATGTTAATACAAACATGATAAGGAATGGATAAAGAACTGGCTCTTAGCCAGCGTAGAGAGTCAGTTCATGTCACCAGCTGCCACACTGCAAAGAACCAGCAGATATCACCATGTGGACCTTTTCTTCTTCCTCCTCAGACCATAAACAATTCCTCCTCAAGTCAAGCAGGAGTTTTCTTTAGTACATAAAAGAATAGATACCTGAATAATTAAATATAGAATCCCAAAGTCATATCTAGAAATGTCAACCATAATTTCAGTAGTGAGAACTTAAGTTCTCTATAGCTCTGGATTTCATCAGGTTGGTGAACAGCCATCACCAATCTCTAAAATACATCAACATCTCATAAATGTTTCATAGACCAAAATCTATTTACAACCCGTTTTATTATTTGGCTAGATCTAATCCTGCCACTCTCATCTGGCTGGACTCAATGTCTCTTGCCAAACACTCATGACTTGATCAGGTCTCACACATCCATGTTGCATACTGTCAGCTGCAGGACAGGACAGCCAAGTGTCCTTAGTTAAAACCATCACAGAAACAATGACAACAACTCATTTTTTAGCTCAACCTGTCACCTTTGCATCAAATAGTTTCAAGGTACAAAAAGTAGAAAAACTTTTAGTGTACCTTTAAGACAAAATTACCTCCACTTCCTTTTCATTACCTCTTAGAGTGGAGAACTCTTTTGTGCTCATCACTGTTGAAACTCGTTTATGATGCCTAAATATCTAAACCAGAAAATCGGAGGCATGCAAGGCACAGGATTTCCATAGTACAAGATCTCCAAGTACTGCCCTCTAGAAACACAGATTACTGCAAGTGATATAGTAGACGAGCCAGGGGTGATCCACAATGGCCAGAAGTCTGGCCACAGGAACATCTTCTAACAACAACGCATTTAGAAAGGCGGGTCTTGCTAAGTAGATAAGCAGCACTCTCTTTACAACCTTTGAAAACACCACCTTTGAAGAAAAAAACTCATTAATTCACACTGATTACTACACAGTAGCTTTGGACAGATACCTACCGTGGTAGGAGGAGGAAACAGTAGTAAGGACAGCTGGGTAGTGTCATGAGAGAAACTCAAGCTGTGTTGTGATGAGAGCCTTTGCCCTCAATCTCACATTCCTTCTCAAATATGTCAGCATTCCACAACACTTTATATAGAAATGAATATCACTGAAAAGGAAGGAAGGAAGGAGACACACATGATGTGTAACATGGTACTGCCCAGTGGGCATAAAAGAAACACACATCAGGCATTTCCCATTCTCCTCCATCCAGTGATATGCATAAATCCTAATACTGTACCAGCACTGAGAACAAATAATTCCAATTAGCCAATAGGTACTGGTTGAACACTGCAGGAGTGTAGCATGGAACCCAATAAGTAAGAGTTTCAAATTAAAATCCACTACCCTGCTCATGTGTAGGGTCATGAGCAACAGAGAGACCGGTCCCTGGATCGCTCTGACAGGTGGATTTCATCCGCATGAGCAAAGGGATGGGTATGTGCTCTGTAATGAACATGAGCCCAGTGATGTGATGGCAGGAAACCATCGCTAGCCTTACGCTACAGCAGGAAGTCTGATAAAGATTACCCCACTTTCTGTCAGTGTTAGATGTGTGAAAATATATGGCCTGGTTCTCCACACACATAAATTTTATGCAGTTGTTACTACAGTGAAAAAACTCCTGATTAATAATCATTGTAAGCAGGAGGAGGATTAAGAGTTAGATATCATAGAATCACGGAATGGTTTGGGTTGGAAGGGACCTTACAGACCATCTAGTTCCAACCCCCCTGCCATGGGCAGGGACACCTTCCACTAGACCAGGTAGCTCAAAGCCTTATCCAGCCTGGCCTTGGTATGTTTAGTGAAATAGGTGTTCAAAGAGTGTAGTGAATAATGTGCAATGAATAATTCATTTGAAAAAAATGTTATTTTCCCCTAGTCCTAACCAGCCCAAGAACAGAGTGTGAATGTTTAACATTTATATGCTATTTGCAATTATTTGTGAACTACATAATTTGTTGTCTACACATAACTCAAATAGGCAATTATGATTATTAAATAAAATATAGAATTTACAACTCCCATAGCAAATTATGTCTTTTGACTAATTTATGTAATGAGCTTAGCTAGTCTGCCCTTCATGGATTTCAAACTGCATGTTCAATATTTGCAATTATCTGTGTAGGCAGAAGTTACATAAGTCATCTGATCAGTAACAGAAACACTACTCTGTTGGATGCAGTCAAAACAGCAAAACCAGCACGTTTTACAATTTCAAACAATTCAGAAAATACTGAAGCATGCAGTTAAAATTTACATCTGAGCCTTATCTGTTCAAAAGCATGAGGGTAGGAAGCTTTTCCCCTCTTAAATACTGTCTATAGACATACATGGAACAGGTGGTACGAATGTGAGGTGTGGCTTGTTCTTTATTTTTGTACAGAACATTTAAGTGTAACATTAAGTGTGTTGCTTAATGTTTTTAATAGGTCAGCAACACTGATGTGTTGCCTGAGGTTTGTCACTGGGGCTGGGGAGGGAATGGGTTGCAGCAGGAGAACAAGCAGCTTAGCACATGTGAAAGAAAGGCTTGGGAAAGGCATGGACATTGACAGCCAGTCGAGACAGCTTGAAAGAAGATTTGGTCCAATTTTCAGATTGGGTGGGATTCCCCCTATTCCCCTTTTTGAAAAACATTTGAAGATAGGATGTGAAAAATTAAATACTGTTGATCAAATCACCCTAATGATAGTTTCTGACTTCCAGTTAGATGAAACTGGCCTCACTGAAACGTATGGGAACTTGGTCTCTATTTGGGATGGATCCAGGATTTCACACATGATCCTTACAATCATGTTTTGTGCTATTCTTCTCTGTTCTTATTAAACTGTTTTACTAGGCCCTCACCCTTCTAACTGCTTTATGTCTTGGCCCCATTACTCCTAGTTATTCTTATCTAGCCAACCGAACAAACCTGAAATAAATCTAAATTTGACACAAACCAACTTACACTGGCTACTAGTGCTCATTACAACAGTACAACTCTTGTTGTTGGTGTTGGATACTCTGCAAAAAACAGTGGAAGGGACTAAAGAGCACCATCAATCATGTTTAGAGCAAACAGCCCACTGCTATGATATATATGACAGCAGCTGAAGTGACTCCTAAAGTCTGCCCTAGGTTTGGCACAATAAAGCATGACCGTCAGCAATGGGCATTTCCTTACTACAGGAAAGCAGCTCCACTAAACTGCAGTGCAGCCTACCACTTCTGGGTTGTCTGAAACACTGAGAAGAAGATAGCAATCTATTAGAAATATAAACTAAAAAGTGCTCTGAAAATATACCCAGATAGTAGATCTGCCTCTCCCGTTATCTGCTGCCTTCTACTTTCAACAACCCTATGAGTTCTGGACATGTTTATCTTTACAATTAGTATTTTCTCATATTGAGAGTGAGGTGAAAGTGCCTGTTTTTAAATCTGAGAGGTACTGAGAGGACCAAAAATTCATACTCAATCACTGAAATAACTGGGCTGATTCTGTCCTGCACATACAAATCTTCTTTTGCTGGGAATGGAAATGATTCTGATGATACTCCTATCCCCATCCATGTAATACAGTTATGGCTATTGAGGTTTGTGGTATTATGTGCAGATTAAATTGGTGAGTTAAGAGTGAGTCTAGTTAGCTGCATAGTGGTAAAGATGTCTGCTCTGCGGTCACGGATGTAGATAGGTACCTCCTTAGTTATTTCCTGCACAGCACTATAGCTTGCAATCCCTTCTTTTGACCCACTTCATCTCCTTTGTGAATCTATTTCCTCAGAGCCTGTTGGAACCCCTTATCATGAGCACATGGGTGAAATTTGAGGGTAGGGGTGCTGGTTGCTCCACAGGCCATTTCCCCCACTTGCATGTGCCCTATCGCTGTAAGAGTCCACAGGCCACAATCTGCTAGTTGCTCTTTTGCTTTGCAGAAAATTGGCGAGTCTACCAGAGGAAAAAGGCACGTTTTGTTTTCCTTAAACATCAAACTCAACACAGTGGTAAATTTACAGTGGTAAATACTGCCAATTTAAACACAGAACTAGTACTTCACTTGTTTCCCTGATAATCTGAATGAAGAGAAAATGATGTTCTTCTGCCTGTGAATCCAAACCTCTCGTACTTGACTGCATGTGTCTGATACCATGATAAAGAAAATACTGGTGAGTTTGAAGGCAGTACTGAAATGCATAATGCTAGAAACACAAAATTCTCTTTTCTAAATAAGAAGGTGCTTTAATAAAAGTACTTCAGTGAAGTTGTTTTAATGAAGGACTAATTGCCTCTAAGTGGTGACATTTGAATGAAGATGTTACAAGCAGCTTCTTATTCAGAAATTAGCAGCCAAGATCAATAAACAAAACAAAATGTAGGCATATTATTGATACAGGTACTGATGCAGATAATGTAGGTATAATGCTGCTATAAAGGGTTGAATTTGGTGAATAAAGCTGATGAAATATAATAGCTGATGTTAATTGTATTGAGGCTGATTTCAAGTAGCTAGTGTTCAACCAGTTTGGTTTTTATATGGCCTTGAAAGATATGCCAACTATAGCTGCTAAATCCATATTGAATTACAAATGGTTACCTTTGTTGATCAAAAAAAAAATGAAATGGAAGAAAAAAAATAACATACCATGTTCACACACAAAACAAAAAGAGCTATATCAGGGACATCAGGGAAGGTGGAATACTATAACAACACATTTTATATTGTTATACTATTCCACCCACCTTAATGGAGAACCCTTCGGTGTGGCTACGCCATAGCCTTTCGAATCCAGATTTCCTCCCACTTTCATGGTGTCACATGGCTTTCGTTGCTCAATGTATTCATTCATGGTGGACTCCAGCAGGAAGGCAAACTTGCCCTTGGATTTGCGGACACGAGCTACTCCCTCTGCAGTAGTCCTAGTGAACACTGACGGCTCTGCTGATTTCATGTAGGTCCACATCTTTTCATACACTGCTATTTTTGATCTCTGGAGAAAATTAAAAACAAGTTAGAACAAAAGAATGTTGCAACATTTCAGAATGGCACTGTTCAAAATCAAATCAATCACACTTAATACTTCTAACAACTGCAATTGGAAAATCATAGTTGGATATGTATTTTCTTTGAATTCCATGATTATTTCAAAAGAAATAACAGCATCAGTCAGATAAAATCAGATATTATTTTTAGGGTGTTAGCCTCTAACAGTCACAATAAAACAACTGCAAAGGTAAGACCTGAATTTACTGTTAGATAAAGGTGGTTGACACAGTCAAAGTGTTGTAAAATGTCTTTTAGGAATTTATATATGGAATAGATACCCACCCTAAGTCTGTATGGAAAGAGAAAAAATAAAATATTCCCCCGTAAATAGTGAGCTTAATCTTGAAGCATTTCTCAGCTCTAACATCCATGTCTTACACCATCAAAACAACAACACCTTAAGTAAGATTTCTCCTTCAACAGAGTCCAAAATTCATTCAATTTACATTCAGAAAGGTTGCACAACATTTCAAGACATGGTTCACATCAAAAAATGGAAACAGCAAATTGACCAAATATGGTATTAAAGGAAAAGAAATTCCCTTCCTTCTTAAAGAAGTATTAGGTATGTTTTTACAACTGCAGTATCAGTAAATTTACTTTAAAGATCCTGCAAGTAATTGCAGAAGAAATGTGTTTGTTCAAAGAATGTGAAAGAATTCGTGGCTTAGGGTGCATCAGTTGGAAATTTTCCTGTCTGTGATTGCATGGTGTAACCACAAGGAAAGATGGAAGCGAACATAAAACTTAATAAAAAATAAACCCAAAAATTTCCATTGGAAGGGAGGAAGCTTCCTATGGTCATTAGATTCATTCAACACCTTTGCTTCCTCCAGCAACAGGGATAAGTACATGCAAACCAGCAGTGCGTCAGCTGAACACTATACAGTGTTTTTATTTGATAATATATGGCATTTGTGTTCTCTAAAACATGCTGAAAAAAAGGACTTTTTAACCCAATGCTCAAGTCAGCTTTTATTTGAATCAACAAGCAAGATTTGTCTATGAGCCCATTCCTACACTGTGCTGAACACTCCAGGAAAATATTCATTATTATAAAGCCCCAAAACAAAAAGCCTTAGAATATTTAAACAAATATCAAATCCTATAATCTAGGTATTATTTAAATTGACAATGGCTTTAAAAAGCCTGCAACTGAGCCTTTGTATAGGTAAAAGCTATTTCCCTGAAGCACTTCTTTTTACGAATTATTGAATGATTGGTCTAACATGAAAGTAAGTGGCATTTAACCAGAATTGTTCAATAAAAATACCATATAAGAGAGCATGATAAATTATCCTTGCTTTTTTAGCTTGTCTGTATACATCATCTTATCTTTCTGTCAAATATAATAACATTTAAATTAACAACAGCTGTGCACGTCCATAATCACATCCTGCCTTGTCACCCTTTTTCCACTATAGTCACAGTTACTTTTCATTTGCATAATAGTGGCTGAGAGCATAACGTAAACTAAGCCACCCATGTATTCTTTTTGCTTTATACTGATGTAATTTCATGGATTTAAATTTACAGAAGAAAAAAAAATAAAAGGAAGAGAGCAGCAATGAATCAGGCATAATTTCAAGAATATGCACTTGCCTTTATCTGCCTTCACTTCCAATAATTTTTTACATCTTAACAGACATATAATCAGTTTCTTTACAAAGTAAACATCTAATAGGTCACTTTCCTTCAAAACTAACAACATGCAACAGATAAAATAGCTCTATTAGTAAGAGGGAACAATGCCCTATATCAACTGTATAAGGTTGTATTTAAATCTATTTTTTTAGGATCTAGTTTCCTTTGCCCATCAAGAGACAAAAAAATATCGCAAGTCTACCAAGGCATCTGCTGTGTAAGAACATTTTCTTCTTCCAAGCCTTCATTTGTTAACATTCAATTTTTACATGTCAACACAGAGTGAAAATTGAAGAGTGAACCAACAGATATCCCTTATTATCATATGAAGGAACATTGCAGCTTTAGCCGGCAGTCAGATAGGCTACAGGAATTTTCATTTAGGGCTTTTTTGGGTAGGACTGAGCATGACAAAGTTCTTTTCCTCTTGAGCAAGCTGCTTGGAAAATGCAACTCTCACTGTGTCCAAAACAGAAAATAAGAGTAAATACCTAATAGTATCAAAGTTGTCCTTTTCTTTATGTTTGCTTTAAAATTACTTTTCCCTTTTTCGTTTTCAATCTGGAATCAAAGCAGACTGAACAGCAGTTCAGAGTTTCTGACATTTTGATCAGAAATGATGAAATGATGAGAAAATGTCCTGAAAGCTCATCTTCAGCAAGAGAGTAATCACTGACAGAAAAGTTACACATTACTCTAATCCCAGAAGTGGTGATGTTTGCCTCCAACCACACAAAATGTTAGAGTTGGCAAACAAGTCTGCTCATACTACTGTTTCAGTCTAGGTCTTAATTTATGTACTATGCAAGCAGTGTTTGTGCTAATATTGTCTGTCAATGATATTTTATCTTTGTCCCTGTTTTGTACATACTATATATATAATAGTACCTATTATATAACAAACAATTATTATATTGTTGCAGAGGTTAGAAACCATTTGATAACAGGGCCTCAACTGCACCATTTTTTAAAACTGATCAAGTGTCTAAATCTTGGTAAAGCTTCAAAATTTGCATATGCAACTATATTTAGTATATGCAGATACTTTTAATGTTTCCCTTTGTAATTTGAAATAAAACAAAAAATATAAAGAGAACACTGACTGGGTTGGTTTTTTTTTTTTTTTCTCTTAACAATTTAATCTTAAAGTGAAAGAATCTTCAAGGAGAAATCTTGCATAAAATATTGATTCAAAGAAAAAAGTATTTAAATACTGAAATTTTTGGACCAAGACTGTTTTTATGTCAAAAGACCTGACCTCAGTACTTCAAAACAATGACTTGTGGAAGTGTTCTGAAACTCTTAAAACTACCCCATTCCTTAATTTTTCACAATTTCCTTGGGAATTAGTTTTTGCATGATCACCTAAAAAAATTGAAGCATTGAAAATCAATGCTTGATTTTCAGCTCTTGAAAATGAAACAAGTTAAGCCCATATTAAATAAACCTGACTTGTCCTGAGAATCACGTTTTAAACTATCATCACAGCTTTGTTCTACCTGAATGAACTATTGAATGCCTATATTGTGGTTACCACCTCAGCTTGTGATGGACTGAAACTAGAATTGCCAAAATCAAATACCTAACTTTCCACAAATTGAGCTAAAGAAGAATCTATGGGTTAGCATAGAGGAATATAAATAATGAATACTGAGGGATTATTTCAAGAAAATAAGAAATCTGGCTAGATTTCTCAGGATTAAAATATTCCAATTCTTAGACAAGCCTCCTATATCGTAATTCCACCATTTATGTAGACATCTGATGTGATATGAGGGTTCCAGGGACCACAGGCTGAGTTTCTACCACTTATGGTAAAAAAAAGGTTCCCAGAGAGCATGTGTAGTGTTATATTTAGGTGTATATCAACATCCTGGCTACAGAAGACAGGTGTAGTTAGAAACCTGTCATTGAACTTTATCCATTAAAAAATGAGGTACTGAGCATGCTGGCCATTTCAGGGGGATCCCTCTAGAGCTGATGCAAAGAGGAAGATACTTTAACAGATGATACATTTCAACTTAACACACTTGTCCCATGCAGGATGCATAGGGGTGTTTTTCTTTCTCCAACGTCTACAGAAGAAATCTGGAAAACTAGCATAGACTAAACTCCTTGGACAACATCATTATGTGAAGGTTCAACCACTGTGTGTTGATTAAGTGCCACTTATATCTCATCAGGCATCGTCTTCCTGCAGCTAATAGAAAATACTTGCAAGTTCTTCTATGGCCATATCTCTCACAATAAAAAGATTATTTCAAAACAGATGTTTTGGGGGTCACGCAGTAACTGCCCTTGAATTGATACTGTCTATAGTTCATAAATCCCATCCATAATTTTTTTATGATTCACTGACTTCAGTTTGGCCAAACTGAAAACAGTCATGGTGTGTGGGAGTCTAATTGAAAGGGAACAGAACAGTTCCCTTTCAATTAGACAAGAAGAAAAAATTACCAAACCATCTTCCTTTCTTCTAAGAGTGCCTTAAACTGTACCTTTCAGATAAATAATGCTCCTAACCCATGTAATTTCCAAGGAAGGATTGCCATCTCTCAGCATTTATTCAGAGCCCTGTTTAAACACTAAACTCACACACGTTCAGTCAGCTAGGCTTAACTTCCATCTGCTAGAGACATGAAATAAAGCAGGAAGGCCTGGTTATTATGTACTCCTTGTGATGTCCAGGCTCCCTGTTTTCCAGCTAGCAAACGATGAAGATTACGTACCAACCACAATAACAGAGGAAAGCAAATGAAAATGAAGTAATCAATACAGACAGCACAGACATATGAGTGGATATTCAGGCTATTTCCTAATTCTCCAACCACATCCCCCCGAGATATATTATCTCTTTATTATTCAGCTGTAAGTCAGCAAATTAAAAAATGCATTTCCTGTCCACCACCCAAGACCCTAAAGCAAAATGCACACAGCCAAATCCATAAGTAGAAACAAAACCTGCAAGACTCCATGTTATCATCATAGGCTTTCAATGCTGCACATCATTTCAGTACTGTAGCTTCAGATGAATCAATAGTGCAATGCTGCTTTAATTATCACTGGCTTCAGTATCCCTCGGGCACCTCTTTTGCCCAGCATGACAGGAAAAATAAGGTAAAATAATTGAAAACTCCAACAAATAGTGTCGTGGGGGTAAAAATGTAGCTCAAGTATTGCAGGAGTTTCAAACTATATTACACATAATTGCAAGTAACATTATTTCACCCTTCCAAGCATCTTATAGGAGCAGTCGGTAGGGAGAGCTGCTCTCACGGATACGCCAACTTACTCTGAAGAACTCTTTGGTTGACCCTGAGTCCAGTGTCCCATAAGCAATTTCGGTTTGTTTGGCAAGGTCTTCTGCACTTTCTATGGGTGAGACCATTCGCTCAACAGTCAAGAAAGCAGCGAGGTTAGCAGTGTAGGATGAAATAATGATGAGCGTGAAGAACCACCAGACACCTCCAACAATGCGACCTGAGAGGGATCTAAACATGAATAAGATAATGCACATTTTCCTGTCTTTTAAGCCATGAAGAGAGAGAGAGAGAGAGAAGGCACCATTATTGCTGAACACGTATCATTAAGTAACAGTCCATGGGAGGGAGATCATTTGCATTTTAAATACTAATAAATGCTTCTTCTCTTGAATCTTAATGCCTACAGTACAGAGTCCACTGTATTAATACATATCACATACATACAGAAGTTTCAATTCTCTTGAGCAGTAATCCCAATGTTCTTATTATATCAGGAAATGCCTAACAGCAAAAAATTTGTCAGAAATGCTGGATAGGTAATCTCTTTTTGGAGGCAAAAGTAAAGCATGGTAGCTGCAAAACCAGTAGCTTTCTCTGCTTCCTCTTAAAAAAAAAAAAAAGACACAAAAGGCTTTGCACATGGATTATGTTGGCTCTAGGATTAAAATGTTCCTGTCACCCAGATTTATCAAATATTCTACAAACTACCACAATCATTTGAACTTTCACATTTTTCTTAATTAAGAAGCAAGCATTTTGTGGTAACAGAGATATTTATGTTAAGAAAAAATTATATTTTCTATTTTAATACCTGTAATTTGATGAGAAGGCTGTTGAGAAGTAATGTACATCCAGTCTCAATCAGTAGTTTTATTGCTAAGTTCACTTGTAGCAGTTAGGCCAATTCTGAATACTTTTAAAAATCTCACTGTTAATGGCTAAAATGAAGCATTCAGATTTGAAAGACTGGGTCATAATGTTTAATTAAGAAGTTTTAGTTACTGCACATAGAAGTTCCAAAACATCTTAAAAGGTTCAGAAATTCAGGACTGGAATCATACATTACATCTGAGGCACCCACTTTGTGAGGCCACACAGCGTGACCTCTCAGAAACAAACGGTCAAATATTCTCTCCTAGGTTGCGAAATTCTCGAAGCAGCGCTGTGGAACTTGACACAGAACAGAAATGCGACATTCATTCATGCAAGGCAAATATTCAGCACAATAGTGTGGATTTCATAATTGTAATACAATGGAACTGATTTAACAACAACATAGCTCCTCTGAAGTCAACGCAGTGGAATTGCCCCTCTGTATACCTGCTGTTTCTGAGAGCTGTTTGTGGTTTAAGCACACTGACATGTGTAAAATAATAGTAATGACTGAAATTCAAAGCAGATTCTCTGTTGCCCTTATCATAGCTATTAAAAAAGAGAAAAAAATGAAAGGGCTTCCTAAAGAATGAACTTCAAAACACTGCCAGGAAAATAAATGAAGGAAGATTTTATGCCTCACTGTTGAAGATAAAATGCAAATGTAAAAAGATTTGACACAAACCTTGGGGAAATATCACATCCTTGTTGCATAAAGGCACCCAGGGAAAACCAGAGGCTGTTGAATATGCCAAATTCATTGGGAGGCTGGTCACTGGGTCCTTCTTTCCCATCCTCTGGTTCTTCTGTGTGCCACTCATATGGGCTAAACCTGCTAACTAGGAACAGGACCACACTGACACCAATGTAGGCAAAGACTATGCACATCCAGATCTCATACGCCAAAGGATCCAAGAAGGAAAACACTCCTGGTTTAGATTTCTGGGGCTTTTTGATCATAATGGATATCCCCAAACTCATAAAAGGCTTAGAAAAATCAATGACCTCTTCTCGTACCAAAGTGATGGTCAGAGGCGCAACAGCAATCTCTGCTTTCTATAAAGACAAAAGAAATACAGATGTATAGGTTAATTGGAGTTGGCTTATACACTCAGCTAAGCAGCTAAATCCAAACCAGCACAGTCATTAACATCAAGATGCTGTGGCTTAAATGTACTTTGTACCATCTTTCTGTTTCTTTCTATCACAGTCTACATTTACTCAAAATTCTTTTAGTAAAACATACACATTGCAGATTTTTATTTTACAGAATTATAGAAATACTTAATTTTCCTGCTAAGGAGAAGACTCTTAAATCTTATGGAGGTGGGCAACAGTGTAGGTAGATCATTTTAGGTATTCATTAAGATTTAAAGTAAAGAAATTCAGGGAAGAATGAAAAATGAGAATGACTGTATTATCACTGAGTGTATAGAGTTTATTTCATAAGATCCCAGAAAGAGTAATTTATTATCATATTTTCATAAGACACAGTCATTCTTTGAGGGAAGCCAGCTCATAGATGCAAGGAAGTTCCAAATAGCATGAAGCAGCAAAGATGATTAACTGTTGATGTGATGCCACAAAATTGCACACGGTTGTCTTGGGGGAAGACAGTTCAATAGGAATGAATAAGATTTTGAACAGTGCAAAAAGGCAAATATACAGCAAACAGTTGTGCGAAATCATGCAATAAAAGGATAAAAAGGTGTGCTGAATCCATCTCCATTTGAGACAGAAATAATTTTTAATGTTTCTCTAATATGTTTTTAGAAGGAAGATGCCAGTCTTAAACGAATTGTTATTGATGATGATGGTGATTATGGCTGCTACCAGTTATGTCTGCATGAACTGTGAGGTACTGCAGTGTGGTAATGGATCATTTCTGTCATTAGGGACTCAACAGTACATGACGGTGTCCTGCTTTGCCTTGTTTGCCTTGCCTTCTACGCTAAAGCTGTCATTACAGCAGTACTGAAGATGGGAATGGTAAGAGGAACTGGGACAAAAGATGTACCGGTGAGAGGGGAGCAGATGCAGAAGATCCTGAAGCCTTCCTCCTGTTCACAATCATGGCACTGTTTCTAGGTGGGTTCACAGAGCAGAGCCCATGCTCTGTGACCAGTGTCTTTACGGCTTATGGGCTAAGGAGGGTAACCGAGCATATTTGGGGAACACGTTTTGTGGTTGCAGATAAGGTAGACTCACAACCTGCCTTCTGCAGTGCCAATGCTCTGCGTCAGGCCTCAATATATGAGACAATCTACCTGTATTTACCCCACCCCAGGCTCAGTCATCTTCACAGACACAATTAAGAGTTATTCATAAATCTCCATAATAGAATCAACATAGTTTTCTAAATACTTAGTTGGCCCGAACAGGGTAGTGTCTTCAAGATATAATACATAGCCCATATTTTAGCAAAGCGTGTAAGCATGTTTGCTTTTTAGGATGTTCCTAAGGATGTTGATACTCAGTAAAATATACAAGGATACATTTAAATCCCATCAATTTTCAATGAGATTAAAACATGCTGAAAAATAAGGATGTGCTTAACTAGTTTAATCCGTGTTACATAAATAGGTTGTGTCATAAAGAAAAAAGTGAAATGTAGGCATTTTTGTCATCTCACAATGTCGAAACAGATAAATGCATTTAAAATAATGTTTTTCTTATTTTATACACTAAGTTATACTGAGCTATGTATATTTTTTAATTTAATTCAAAACTCATATCATGTAGTTAAAATTTAAAACTATTTTGGTAGCTGTATAATTTTGAATAATTCAGAAGTACTGACTCATTCCAGTGCAATTGCCTAAAAATGTAAATTTGTAAATTGCTATATATTAATCATCAGATTATATCTGTCATTCTGAAATAATTGTGATGCAAACATGTATCATAATTTAATGTAAAGATATTACAGTTTAAGCAACACAAAATCCCAATTTTCAAGTGTATCAGACGTTATCTCTTGTGCTAATGTCTTGAGTAAACATTATGATAATAGTGCTAATTCTCTGAATTTAATGTAAATTTTTGTAACACCAGGCATTTTAAAAAAATTGGCTTCTTGAAGTCTTGTGATTACATAATTCTAATATATACAGAAATAGATAGTTTATGAAGATAGGTACAATATGAAGAAAAAAAAATGGCTAAAATATATTTTTAGATATCCTGAAAATTGTAAAGTAGATTTGGTTTCTGTAGTGTAAGGATTGTAGGATGCTTTGGGCTACTGGTATTGCTGTGTATTTTTGTATCTCATCTCACTCATTAGTTCTTTTTTTTAGAAAGACGGTTTCCTTCTCTAGAGTCCATGCCTTTTATTCTTCTAAATTTCAGACACTCTGAACGCCTAATGTGGCATACTTGAAACAAGTTAACTGAAAGCCTCAGGAAACCTGCAGTCTATTACTTCTAATCTTCTCTGTATTTGTCACATACTGGAATCTTCCTTAACATGGTGTAAATGATAGACCCAGCCATTGGACTTCAAAAGCGCTGGCTAACCCTTCATTTTTTGTGTCTGCAGATTGCTACTGGAATTAAAACAAGGATCCTTGAGGGTTGTTACTTTTGGCGATGTGAGGTGGAAAAGTGACAGCACCATTTTAGTGTCAATTGTGAAGATTTTAAAGACCTCATTAGCACACTGCAATTTGTATGTGAAACACTGGGTAAGATTAATCTTACCAAATTTAAATGCTCCCCAATACATGCAGAACTCGAGCTACATCAGAATTATGTCTTCACTACTTTAACGAGTTAATGAGAAGAAATAGGAACTTAGCCTATTTATGATAGTGATCTAATGTCAGATAATTCATAATGTAGATAAACCTGTTTTGTGTCAATGAATGCAAAGAAACAGCATACAGATAGGTCACAATTAGATGCCAAATAATTGGAAAAAGTGCAGCCTTCCCAATCTGATCATATTTTTTCATGATTTTTGTAGGACTACCGTGTGACATATTAAAAGCCTATATAAGCTCTTCATTGCTGAAAGCTAAATAATGACAATAGCTGTGAATTATAATCATCAGCATTTGTGCTTTGCCCAGTTTATGTACACCATATAATTTTGGATTTAAATGATTAACAGTGTAACAGTGGTGCAAACAATTAATGATTTTGTTGCCAGTGAAATCTGTTTTGACAAAGGCTAATGATAGTTCACACTTGAAGCAACTGCATCTGTAACAGCATTTCAATCAAGGCTGCACCACTACTATGTACAGATGGATCCTGGTTCTTTCCGGTATTATACAATGGGACTAGATTAAGTCTGATGTTGAGACACTTATTTTTCCAGAATATATTATTAAAACCTTGTGAATGAAATCTCTCCCTGGTACCAACTGTATGAAGGTGCTAAAGCTATCTGACAAAAATCATGCAGGAAGTGATTTCAACTTCAGAAGCTCATGACTTCTCAAATTTTAAACAGAAATGGGTTATGACCTTTTGTATTAAGCAGTGAAAGAATAGCATTCTGTGTCAGGAAAATGAATATTTAATTGGAGATGACTGTTCATTTGGAAACACCTGTTACACATGCTTAATGGCATTTCATCCCCAGCCAGCATTATTCCTGTGAGCTTGATATCAAGGGCTATCATGGACTACTGAAGCAGGCATTTGGATACCTCAGGGACAAATGACCAAGATTTCCCAGTAGTTTTTAACAGAGTGCTAAAAACAAAGCAGGAAAACAAACAAACCTCCACCATGACCTTCTGTACAGTCACAGCACAACTGTACAGCACTTTCTACACTGTTTCCTCAGGGACACGATGGAAAAATCAACTACAGAGTTTAGGTGGCAACCAAGCTGCTCTGTGTGGTATCTGAGGGCATCCAGCTACCAGAACAATCAACAGTGCATACAGGTCTCCAGGGAACATGGGGTAAAATTGGCACATGTATCCAATCTCAGGAACATGGATAGGACTGAGCGCTTATTGGTGGCACAGAGACATTGGGGTACGATGTAAAGAGCAGGAGAGGTGAGGAGCCTTTTGTGGGGCACAGAAAAGGTCCAATGTCACAAAACTGTCTGTTAATCCCTTAATGTGGTTGGGAATTAGAGGATCTAAAATGTTTCCCAAACAGCTCATCTCCTTAACTTGCTAATTCAGTTGCAAATTCTGTCCCAATCCTGGCTGCATACAAAAAGCCTTTCCTGAAGCACAGCCAACTATTTAGAGTACTTGTGTTTGTGATTTGGGGATCTATCAGGGAAGATGAACATCCTCTTATAGCACAGCTTTGTAGGAAAGTCTCTGGCTGACTGATTTTCTGCACTCTCTATGAGGAATAGGCCTGAGAACCTGATGCTCTGTAAATCATCTGGCAAGGACTCAAGGAAGTTGCAGAGAGGGTGTTCTTCATGGATTCCCTATGGAAACCTTACGTAGCAAACTTCATAGGTTAACACAAAGAAAAAGCTACAGCTATAAAAGTACATTAAACATGTTTGGAGCAGATCTTGGCCTTAAGACCAGCTGGAACAAGTCAGTCTGTGTCACTACCGTGAAAGTCATTTAACCTCTAAATTGGCATGGCTGCATTCAAGCTGCCTATAGGGAATGGTCTCTCTCCCATCCTAGTGTCCAGCTGGGCTCAGAAATTGTTTTGGATAGTAATTACGGGCCAAAAATATATTGGGGACCATTGCTGCAATTTAGCAGATTAGTCAAGCAACTTCCAGTGCCCAGGGGCACTCCTGGTGCCACTGATACACTGGGATAGATAAAGCCTCAAGGAGTCTTCAGACAGTACAGCAAATACACTGTGCAACAGTGAACTTCTGTTAGTTCTTTCAATAAAAATAAGGTCTAAGAGCTTTGCTGCAGTCCATTCCCAGAGCTCAATCCCAGAATCAGTCAGATGGCAGCCTTCCTGAACAGATGGTTGTTCAGGAGCTTTTAAATTTGGCCATCAAAGCTTTAAAGAGCTTTCACATCATTCTTTTCCATTACAAAAAAAAGTGCTGACCATATATTCTGGGATGTCCTCTTCATGCAGGTGATTTCCAACAAGTTCCTTATGCCTGTGAGCTGTGTTGCTTTCAGCTATGCTAACTGCTGCAGGTCACATTCCACTTCTAGCATGAACCCCTGTGTGAGCTTCCTAACAGCGTTTCGTTTTTCAGTCTAGTACTAGGGCAGTTTGGGACTGATAAAGTAGACAAAAACAAAACAAAAAAACCCAAAAAAACTAAAGTGCAATTTCAGGTTTCCTCCATAATTTTCAGCTACATGATAGGCCACTGAAACTATACATTTGGGCAAGGGAATTTTATCACAATTTGTAAAATTTCTCAGATGATTTAAAAAACCTACTGGTGTAAAACAGTGCATAGCCATTGATATACAAGTATTTGCTATTGCAATTAAAAGCCATACAAGGAGTTGCCTCCATTTTGACAAAATAAGTCTGAAAAACCCTTGAGTTTTAATATTGTGAGAGCTGAGCTGCTTCCAAGCCACTGAAGTGGATATCCATGCTTGGTGATCATCCAGCTTTTCCACTCTTTAAAGACACAAGTGAGGTTGGTTCCTCCATGAACTTCCAAAACAGAGAGGTTTGTGGTGCTGGTATAACCTTCCCATTCCTACATGGAGGGGAAAACTCTGGGACTTCTTTTCCCACAGTCCTACAGCACACAGTCTACTTCATGTTGAGGAGACCCCTGAACTAATGCTAGTGGAGAAGACTGACAAAATTTATCAGCTATCCTTATCTGACAGAAGGGAACAGAAAGGGAGCTGTTAGACTAGATTTCTACCACATGTGGCCCTAACTGTCATCGGAACTGTGAAAACTGCAACTGTGGATGGACCAACCCATATGCAGTAGCTTTTTATAGGGAGATTGAGGCATGTTATGAATTCATTGGTGGAAATGTTCCATCTGAATACTTTTAGGATTTTTTTTTTTTATTATTCCATCACTATAATTAAGTTTCTCTATGAATTCTGATCTGTTCTCATGCAGATAGTACCACTGCAGCCATCAGCAAGCACAGCTCTGTGTTTTGCTACTTTGGTAACACCAGATACTGCAAATATTTCTTTGGGTTTGCTGGAACTATTTTCATTAAATATTGCAACTTTATGTGTTAACAGAATTGTTAACTGTTAAGCTATTCTGAAGAATCCTTCTTGACATCACTGTATAACATAATGCTCTTAATTGCTAAATTTACCAGGTTTGTTCTTAAATTTTATTATTGATGTTCGTCTTAAAAGACTGTCTTAATCCTGAATTGCCTAATTGTGTACTAGTCTGTAGTGGTTTGTTACGCATGTTTATGTTGTGGTTTAACTCTGGCTAGCACAGTACTGGCTAGCAAAATATATGATGATGGATTCTCCATTTTTCCAATTAGACCAAGAAACCTATCTTTTTAAAAAGATCTTCCCCCATTCCATGAAAATTAATAAATTATATTCTTCCCTACTAGGTTTTATGATGTTAACAGGAATAGATGGCCTCTAACATTAGTTCTAACATTAATGAATTTTTGAGGGACGTGCAAACTATGGATGTTCTAATGTTACAAGGTACTAGTTGAATAAATAGCAGAATTTGCAAGAAACTATTTGATCTTCTCTTGAAAATAAATGAAAGCACAGAGATCTGAAACAGAATTCTGTTTCTTTTCTGTGACGCCAAATTTAATTAAAATGCACATACATTTCCTATTTTATGACTAATAGTATGATAAATTAAATCCTGCTTCAAAAATTGATATGCTTACCCCATAAACAAGTTCTCCCACCATCCCATTCCAGATTTTTGTCTCTGGATCCCTTGCTCCATATTTTCCATCAGGAACAATGGCAATTTTGTACTTGATACCAATATGTTTTGCAATTTCTGACGCCAGATCTACACAGTATCCTTCAAACTTGTCATTCCCTTCAAACGTGTCATGGTTTTTCTTGAACATAACATATGGGGCTTCCTATAATGAAAGAAGTAGAACTGTAAAGGAGAAGTATACAGAATACACTTTGAAAATAACATGTCATCTACTGACTGAGCAACACACATTTTATGAAAACTTAATGGATAGTATTAGCACATTTAAATTATGAAGAGAAATCCTTCTGGAAAGGTGTACTATTTACACTGTAATTTGGCTTATACATTTCAAAGACATCAATTTTACAACTCATAAACACCAAAAACTATCCAAGAATGCATATAAATTTTACTTTGTTTTAAATGAAAGACCTTAGTGCAATATATGCTAAATTTAAAGAGTGAATAGAGGTTGCACTTATATAGTACAAATGATTGTGGTATGCAAGGTATAATTTACTTTTGACTTCAATAAGGAAGCATATCCTCTAACAGAGTGTGGTTACTGTGTATGTAATTTTGGATGCACAGCCTGAATGATTTGCTTTCTTGGGGCTTAGAATGCATAGTTACTAAGAGCTACATATATTTTAGTGAGGACATAGAGATACATTCCCAAGGAAACACATATCTTCCCCTTCGAATAAACAGTGCAGATTCTGCAAGGTCGTTTAGGATGAATCTAAGCAATATGCACGGACAAGAATGGTATTAAGCTGACTCTGACTTTACATGCTGCATGATAAAGAAGTACCAAAATATTTTTGGTTGGTGAGCACCTTTAAAAACAAGTAAAAACCGTGTCAAAAAGTGGATCTTACATTCCCTGCGTAAACCATACTATCACAATAGTGAACATTGTGTCATTGGGAAACGACAGTATGTGATTAGGAAATCAAGGCCACATTGGGAAAACGAGGTCACATTTTTTTTTGCTCTGTGTGGATTCAGACTTTAGGAATCATTATGTAAAGCTGTACTTTATAGTGGTATTTTTAATTACTTCAAATAATTCATATGGATAGCCAGTTTCAGATAAAATACTTGTCACTAATTTCACCCTGTGTTTGAATTTACATCACAAAATACTGGCAATTTAAGTTTTCTCTGTGCCAGCACTGGCAATTGTTTTTTTGACACTAACCTTGGAGTGTTAGTGTCCTTTCCTATATGCATAATTAGTATAAAAATAAAAATAATGTGTGGTCTGAGAATGTCTGCTTCATTCAAACTAAATCAGCTGTAAGCGACAGCAATTTCCTACCCTCTGTTAGGTGTTTAGCAATGGAGGATACATGGTGTTACACGGGTAACAGAGAGACTGAATAAACCAATTTCAGTGTGTCAGGTAAATTTTTCCTTTTGGATACCATTAGGTAATTCCTATTATCAGGGTGAGGATCAACCCAAGAGAAGAACTTGATAGACAAGCCTTAACAGTATCTTTAATTTACTGTTATAAGGTGAAAAACCAGCAAAGTAAAGACTATATGTGGGAGGCACTATACCCTCAAGTAATGTTACTCCCCGTGGTAACACTGCCCAGGACTCACCTCTGTATAAAGACGGCAGAACGGAGCTTTGTGTAATGTGAGTGGAGAAAGTCATGTAGTTTGTTTACTTCAGTGTGAGAGAAAGGTCCTACAGTAAATTCAACAGAGTTTGGGAATGGGGAAGGGCTAGTGTTTCCTTAAAGACAAACTCAGGTTCCTAAGTGTTGCAGGAATGTTTTACTCCCAGGCGTATTCCCAGAACACCTCTCCTCCCATTGTCTCCTTTTTATGTTATTCTCTGTTATGTATGGACCACAACCTTTGGGCCACAATCCCTCAGCAGTCATTCAGTGTAGGAGGCCGTTGATGCCTTAGGGATGTTAGTTCAGCTCAGGAACCAGACAGCATAGAAAAGTCTCCACAACAATCCCTTCCACAGTCAAACTCTGTCCGACTACCTGGTTCCATGACATATATGTAAGTGTAAATGCCCAGAGAAATTTGAGGGTGGCAACAGCAGATTATTGCATTTCTTGAGCACATAGTTATGTCCTCCGCATGGCCAAGGGTTGCCAAGGGCTTATAAAGCTGGGGCAATCACAAAACAACCTGCTGTCATCCTGGTACGTGTGGCCTGGGCACTGAGAAGACAGACTGAGCTACAGCATTAACTATGCACTGTAATCACTGCAGTGGTGCCTTTGCCCATACAGTTTGTGTTTTCAAAGGAAAACTGCTGAGTATTACCAGCAGCCGGCATCTTTTCTTGTATTCCTATCCCCAGATAAATCAGCTTAATCTCAACCACCTGTCTTCCAGAGAAGGGGTCCTGCCCTCTCTTTACAGTAAATCCTGATTTTGGGAAGTATTTTGGGCACATGAATCAAATGTTCCTCCCTTATGTAGACTTTTCTTTTTCCCCCCCCATGAGAGGAAATGCCAAAATCTGGGTCTTTCTACATATGTTATTTCAAAAAATTGTTAAAAATGGAGACAAAAAATACATTGTGTCTTGACTATGATTTAGCCAAATGTTAGCTAGAAATACAACCAAGTCTTGTCCCGTATCCTGCATTTGTGGACTCTCCTTACAAGCTTCAGCTGCAGTTGCTTGCTGCACCTCAAATGCAATTTTGTTTTTCTAAGGTCAGTGACTCCTAGCTCTTCTGATTCAGCATTCTTTATACATCCCAAGCCAAAGGCATACAACTGAAGTCACACCAGGAAATAATTATGGAGAAGGACATAAAGCAGACAGGCACAGAGGAGGCAAAGTCAGCCTGTTCCTTCTCCGAAAACCAAGACACTGTGCTTCTTTCTGCCTGCACCTCATCACTGACAGGGCTGTTACCAAAACAGCATTTCAACTGTCTCTGCACTACAAACTGTCTCTGCACTACAAAGCAAAGTGACAGAGGCCTTATTTTTTCCTCTTAAAGGCTAAATAAACTTCAGCTCTCCTCCCCATGAGTTCTCTGAGGGAATGATGAAAAGGGAAGCAGTGGAGTCCAGCACTGTCAGCAAGCCCATCCAAGGGAGGGACCATCAAGTGAGGACTCAGAAAACCTGGTTTCTGGCAGGGATCTGTTGGGTGACTTGGACGAACCACATTGGTTCTCTCCCCATCCACTTCTCTTTCTACACACTCTGATGTTACTGATTTAGAGCAAAATACAGCAAGGAACATCTCTCATAATGCAAGTCTTTTAGTGAGTAAGGTGGTACCTCTTGCTGTGACTGCTTTGAAATAAGCAGCAATTGAGTGAGATCTGCCAGTGTGAAACTGTATGAAAATAATGGGAACACCTACTACCTTTTGCTTAATGTGTTGTCCTTTCCCTTCTATGTATTTTTACACAGAATGAATTTCTTTAACTGCTGCACCTACTTAATTGCCAACTAATGAGAGATGTATTTTCAAGGGAGAATTTATTGGGGGAGATGTGGGTGTGACTGAATGTGGCTTTCTGACAAAGACTGTTTGCAAATAAAATCAAATAGTAGCACTGATTTTAAATTCTGTTCAAATTTTCAGGGTGTTTCAAACTAATGAGGTGTGCAGATGTTATTATAATAACATCAGGACACTGAAAGGCAAGCTTTACTGGTTTGCTAACAAGCAACTTACACAGATGAACATGCAAGGTCACATTGCATAGTCATGAATTATCAATAACATATACTCAGCCATATCTTCATGCTCTTTTCTATCTGTAGCACTGAAAAAGATATTTTTCTGAATAATCTATTGCAATCGCATTTGCTAAATTAGTATCAATGTTAGTGTAACCTTGCTAGTCTAAATGTGTAAGAGATGTAAGGTATCTGTGGAGAGGTAGTATCTTCTATTAGATCAGCTGATATAGCTGAAAACAGTAGGCATGCTTTTTCACTGTTCCCAGTTATAGCATCTTGTCTAATAAAAATATTACTTTTCCCCACCATCTTTGTATTTACTACATTTTTGAACTATAAACTCTTAAACTACTGATGTAAAAAACAGGTTTGACTTACTACTGAATGAGTTTAACATCACAATATCTGCAAGATTTTAGCTGCTTAATAGTATTTTATGGGGTAGTGAATCAAGGATAAGTCCACATTGAAATGATCAATGACTAGCACGGAACAGATATTTGAAATGGTGCAAGCTTTACTTATATAATTCACAATTTTATAACAATACTTAACATTTGTAAATACAAGTTGATGTCTGCAACAATTACCTTTATAGATGTAAACAATTCATTCCACCACATTGCCACAAATTCAGGTGTACAGTAAAATACTCACAAATGATGATTCATACTATAAGGGAAGCTGGAGAAAGTAACTAACCCAAATACCAAACAGATCTATGTTCCACTTTCCTATTCTAAAATTCATTTCAAAATCTTTAAACACTAACACTGTAAAAATAATTTGTAAAAGTGACAAATATTTGTGCAAGGAAATGTCCCATTTTTAGAACAGAAGTGGCACACATTATCACACTTTATTCTGAAAGAAGGTTCTGTAGATGTCAATGTAAGACTTTTGGCTTTGTTTTCTTTTTTTTTGTTTGTTTGTTGGTTTTTGTTTGGTTTTTGGTTTGTTGGTTTGGTTGGTTTTTTTTTCTGAATAAAGTGTCCAGGATTCGGTTTGAAGTCTTATTATTGTCATGCAACAAACTTCCACTTTTTTCTCTAGTCTACTAAAGAATTTAATTAATAAAATTTCTATTGAAAAAATATTTTTCTATTATGAGAGAGGAGGTTATAGTTAGAATTTTTGAGGTAAGACTCTGTCTAGAGCATAGCAGTCAAAACAATGAGTGGTTCTTAGTCCCCTAATGATGGTATCTGTCATCTAAGATGCCCTAAGGTAACCTGCTTGACCTCCAAGTGCCGTTCTGCAGGTCCTTTGTGGTTCCCCTTTATGGATAGGTCTGATATCCTCAGTGTTAAGCATCCACCCACTGGCCACTGAATCAATTTCTAAATCTCTGTCGGCTTGGATGAAAACTTACACATATGGGGCACAACTCATTCCACATGCCTGAAACAACATACAGTAGCTGAGACATCCACATGGAGTGGTCACATATGGTGAGGTGGTACATCCTAGAGCATCTTAAATGTCACTGAGCGCCTATAAGTGGGCAACTGAATCAATACCCTTTGTAAAGTCATCTACATTTAGGTGACTCGGTCTTGAATCAGATCCTGACCTTGAAGCTTAATCTGTCAACACCAAGACTTTCTCATTAAAATACTGAGCTCCCGTGCAGATGCAGCTCACTGTACATCGACCTTTGGTTCTAAAGGGCTTCCATGATTTTTTAAGTTTTGCAATCTCAGAGCAGGTACAGAATTGGCTGTATCATCAAGTGGATTAGAGTTTGGTCTAGTCTTTCAAGCCTACTCCCCTATATTCTACCTCAGCATCTTGTCACTGTATTTCTGAACTCACTGCATTGGAGATGACTGTTCTTCCTAGCTGGATAAGTCACTGACTTTACCTTAGCGTTAGAGGAAGGCTGCACGTGGCATCCCTTCTCCAGTCACGCCATGACCATACTGTGCACCTGGAGGTCCCAAGCCCCATCTGGAAGGAATGTTTCTGCACACAGGTAGAAAATGTCCTGTCCAGAGAGCCAGATGTACAGGAGGCTGTGTATCACGGGAGGTGCAGGACACAGGGCTCTCCCAGGAACTATAAATTGTGGATGCCCCATCCCTGGATGTCTTCAAGGCCGGGCTGGATGTGGCTTTGAGCAACCTGGCCTAGTGCAAGGTGTCCCTGCCCATGGCAGGGGGGTTGGAACTAGATGATCATTAAGGTCCCTTCCAACCCAAACCATTCTGTGATTCTATGATTCTATAAAAAGCAGGGCTGCATGGCAGCTGGTGAAGTGCATCAGCTGCCCCTGTTGCCACTCCCTCTGAGCTGCTTCTTCACCACATGACTAATCGGAGATAGGTTAAGTGCCTATGTACTATACCAAAACTGTAAAATAAATTCTACATGCTCTCACTACGTTACAAATGAGCATAACATTTTGCTAAGTAGAAAACACTGTGGTAAGTTCTTTGAGTGCAGAGCTGATTTGTTGTAATGCGCTTTCTACGCAATAGCCATACAGCCACACGACAGCAAAGGAAGCATAGACACATGAAAACTGAAGAAACAGCAGGCAACTCAACTTGTGCTATTTGGCTTCAGGCAAAAATTAAAGCAAGCCATGCTGAAAACTTGTAAACTTTTCTTATGCTGCCACAACACCTGTCTTTGAAGACTGAAAAGCCTGACAGCACTGGTTGCTGAAGCTTTGAAGTTTAATGTTGGAAAACATGCATGCAACCAAAATTATGTGTGTCATCTACAATGGTTCATCTTCCCTTCAATGTGAAGAGGGCAATGAAGAGGTCAAAAAGTCTCTCTCTGGCATTTGCAACATGACTATTATATAGAGAAGAGCAAAATAACAGGATTCTGAAAGTTATTCTAGTTAAATATATCTTTTTTACTTGTGTGTGATCATATGGATCTAAGTGGATGCTAAATAAATTGCCCTGGCAGGCCAATATTAAGAATCATGGTTCTAATCTGCCTTCAGCATCATGTGTGCAGCTCCCAGTGGAGGAAATGGGAGATGGGCATGATAAGGCAGAATTCACCATCCATTCTTATTCAAACCAAATTCTGATGTATTTCTCTTGCACTGTAATTTCGAAACATTGAAAAGGGACAGTTTTGGTCAAGAAGCAGTGCTGCTTTGAAATAATTGCATTTATCCCAAAACGACATGCTGCATAAACATAGGGCATGCTTTGGAATATCAATTCAGCTTTTTGGTTTTGAAAACGATTCCACCAGTCCTTTCAATACAGGGACTGGAAAAGTTCTTTTGACGATAACATTTATTATGCACATCAAAATGCTTCAGCGCAAACAGGACAGGCAAGATAACACATTTTAGAAGCTTTCTTGTTTTCCTTTTTTGCCTTTCTGGCAAACAGGAACCTTTCATATTTCTTTTCATTACTACTTTTTACTCGCTTCTCCTAAGCTCGGAGCTATTTATGGAAATTACAGTATTCATGTATGGCAGCTTCAGTCAAAGATATCAGGATTGGTATGAGAGGAAAATTTCGACTGAAAGCTTGTTATTCACATCGTTCTCTTCTCAGCTTGGCAAAGTTGAAGGTTAACGTCATCTGTTCTAGACATTTCAGATTAGTCACAGAACTTTTCTTGGTGGTTCAGTGCCTGGTCATCCAGTCAGAGGAACAGTAATCCGTATGGAAAAATTAGCTCAATGCTACTAGACTGGTGGTTAATACTTGAGCCTTAGTTAGGAATGTTCGCAGCATCTTGGGACTCTTTTCTTCCTTGATCAATTTCTTAAAATAGGATTCTTCATCAGAGGCTGAAAAGAGGAGGACTGTACTGAAGTATATTTTTTTTTCCATCACGAAGTCTTTTTTTTTAATTCTCTTTTTTTTTTTTTTTAAGGAAAAAGATACATATATTTTAAATGTCCCATGCAAAAAATTAAAATAAAAAGTTACACGATTTGGTTAGGAGTTACATTCTGAATTCCTGTGTAGTAATTTGGTTGGTTTGCATCCTGGAATGATAATCTTCAACAGGAGATTTGTTAAGACATATTTAATGTATAAATGCTGATACACACTGCTGGAAATCTTGTAAGTAACTGCACTTTTGAGTAAAAATTGTCTGACACTTTCCTTTGGATTATTTTCAACTCTGTATTAAATTAGAAAAATCACTGCTAACAACACATACAGAATATTCCTTCCCATTTGAGACACAGCTTATTCTAAATGGTTAAAACACCTTGTCTAAATGAAGCAGGTGAAAAGGGCAGTGAACTGAGATGTAAAATCTTAAAAGCGGTCAGGTAAAGGTCACCCTTTGTCAGTTGGCTTTGACAAACATCAGCATAAAAGGGCATGTCTGAATTCAGAGGGAAAATTGTCAAATATTTGGTTTAAAATACAGATTTGTAAGAAATAATGGTTTTGAAAAACTATGTACTAAAAATGTATATGTATGAAGCAACTGCATTTAAAAACAACAACAACACTGGAAAATCAAACCTCAAATCTATTTAAATTTTATTAAAATTGAATTTTTTTTAAAATGCTGAATAAACATATTAAGAAATATGTTAAAATGCATTTACTAAGTTCATGTTTTCATTCACAAGTACAAGTAGATAATCCAGCTCTGACAGGCCGACTGAACTACACTAATTAGAATTTTAACTCTTGCTGATGTCAACTTTAAATTTGTAATGACTCAACAAAAAGGGACTGACAGCTCATTTTATACCCTCTGCTCAATTCCGCCATTTAGAGGTTTCAGGTTTTTCTTTTCTTCCAGTTTCTTATGAGTCAAGATTTATAAATTAAGGGTTGAAATAATTCACTTACATTTCTGAGACTTATGTTAGTAAAAGATGGAAAAGAGTGAATGAGGGAAAAATATTACTGCACCTCAATTTTAAAAAATGGATTTCAATTGAATCATTATATTAAATGCATACCAAAAAAAAACTCTCTACAGACATGACAGTCAAGATAATTAAGGTACATGGCTCTCACCCTCCCACTAACCTAGGAACTGGCAGACTAAATCAAACCATAACTAGAAATGAGATTGTGTCACACATCAGTATAAGCATTAAAAAAGAAACACCTTACCAAAATCGTAGTGACAACTACTGTTCTATTCTCAATGGCTGAAGTGTCATTTCCAAGTGTAGGTTCATGCTGAATCAAAACTAATTTATCCATATCATTCCAGTAACCAACCTGCAAAACAAAATGTATAAAATTTACAGTACAAAAGCCTACATCCTGTATAATTACAAATATAAATGGTTAAAAGAACAGAGTGATCCAATTACAGTTTTCTACGAAAGGAAGTGCTGTCACACTGATAGATGGGTACACGGTGGCACATATCTAACACTTTGGGGATACCATCTTGCACGCCTGCTGCACAGTCAGACCTGGTATCGATGCCACTCCGCTGTTCCAGAATGATCTGAGCTATTTACTTCGACCAGAGGCACAAGTTAAATCCCATTTTCAATAGTTTGAAACCTTCCTGAGGCATAAACGAGATGCACAAATTTTTGCTCTCCACAAGAAATTTTTTATTCACTAATCCTCCAGATCTTCTGGTTTTAGACAGAGAAGTGAAAAACATCTGGATGACAGCTTTGCAATTCAATGGCTGATTTCCTCAATTCCCTGCTCCATCATGGCCCTCCACAGAGACCCAAACCCAGGGACTTACACCAGGATTGTTCCATTTAACTGCTGGCACTGATGTTAAGTACCTACATTAGAAGCCCTGTAACTACAGGCTTCTTTACACTCACTGGAGAGAGAGGCACCACCAGTCAGTGACAGCTCATGCAGGATGAGCACCCCCTCCTAGAAAAGTGCTTGCTTCCCCCATTGACCCTAAATCATGGTGAGGGTGACTTCACTCAAAGTGCCTCTCCTAAGTGCCTACAGTGAGGTGGAACAGATTTTGCTCTCCCTGGCTGCATTTAGACTGTGACAACCCTTCCCAGAGCAACCTTAAGGTGGAACAGCTGTCTTTGTTCATTGCTGGCAATGAACTACTCTCCAGCCAGGTTTGAATCACTCATTCTTGCATTTCCATGGAGAAAAAAAAAAAAAAAAAATTAAAAGTGGTATGCCTGCAATCAGCAGCCTTCCCTTACATACAGACATTGCTCTTTGTAGTGCACAGATCTGGTCCTCAGTACAACCTGCAGCTGCGCCCTGTGCATCAGTGGTGATGCTGCAGGGCACAAGACACGAGTCAACATCCTTTCCTGAGAGGGCCCAGGGATGCACTGCTGGCTGTAAGACCAGATGGGATGAAGGCAGCCTGAGAAAAGGAGATTCCTCTTCAAACTTTTACTGACATTTTAGGAAGCTGCTTAATTAATACTTAATACTCCCTATACACCCCAAAAAATCCCCCACAGGCTATATACCATGTTTTTTCATGTTCAAAAAAGATACCAGATATAAAATATTTCACTGTATGAAATGGCAAACCCTGGTCATTCAGAATCTACAGCACACTCATCTCCTCACTCCATGTGGTGATACCATGTGTAGCATTTGTATCAGCAAGTGGTATTTCTGGATTTAGAGCTCCTCATTCCATGTTGCCCTGGGTGAAGTTAGGCAGAAAAGGTCATTTGCAAGGCTTCCTGGGAATTCCATGTTCATGATGTTCCCAGTACAAGGCAGTTGTCTATGAAATTGCAAATGGTTCATGACAGTGGTCCCTTGTGTCACTATAATTCCACCTTCTGACCCATCCTTTCAGCATGCCAGACATGGGTCCCATATCTGAAGTTGCTGTCACATCTAACATGCGGCTCACTAGCAGACACCCTTCCTTTTCCCATTCTTCCCATTCTCTTTTCTGCAACTAGACCATTGTTGTCTGTGGACCCTCTGACAATGTTGCTGGGGAATGGCTCTGTGTCTGTTCCCCTGACCCAGCACTGGCAGCACCCAGATCCATGTCAAACAGACAACAGGAACACAACCATGTCTATGCTCTACTCCCACCTAAAGGGGCTCTTCAGGTTGCTGAGAACCTAATAAATTAATAGACTGATCTGTTTTCCCAGGAAAGGTGCAGGCAGTGGCAGTGAATTTAAAAGGGTCCTTTCAAACAAATGTAATTCAAGCTGGCACAGCTCGCTTTTCAGAAGCACCTGGGGACCAGTCAGCAGCAACTCCCCCTTCCCTTCTTTCTTGATAATTAATTCATGAGACCAAGAGCTGGGAGGGAAGTACGCCTCTTAGCAAGAGAGGAAAGGCAGTTTTAGTGGACAGCAGGGTCCAGACAGAGCTCCAGTGTAACTGCCAGTGCCAAAGGACAGTGTGTGCCTTGGAAGAAAAGACTGCAGTCTGGCTAAACGTTCAGATCATTTATGCAACCAATATTATTTCTAACATTATTATAGAACCCAGACTAAAATTCACCAACACATAGGATTCTGCCTTCATCACGTCAAGAAACATCTTGTTCAGATCAATGCAGTAATGCAATATGAGAGTACAGATGTGAAGAACAGTGCTTTTGGTTCATGGCCTCATATGCATGAAAGAATCCTGTATATTCTTAAAACAGTCAAACTTCCTCTTTATTTTTATGTTTACTATTTAATTAGTTTCCTTTTTGAAAAATATTTATGGAGAAGCAATTTATTTTAGCAGTCCTTAGAACAGTATGCAGATACACAATCACTACAGCAGTGAATATGCATTTCTGAGAATTACTAATACATGAAGTAATTCATTATAAGTGAGTATGAGTGAATAAGAGTGATTTTTTTTTCCTGTTGGTGAAACAAACAAACACAAACTGCTCCCATGCACAACTTCTGGTATATTCACTTGAAATGTGTTATTACAGGTTTGGAGCCTTGATTTAGGTGTCTGCAGCTAACTGGAAGCTTCAGCATTGCTGATATAGTGGAGAGGGAGGTTCTCTTCCTAGTAGAATACACTGCTAACAAACATTCTTTTTCATTCAGACAACCATAGAGTCACAGATAAACCTGGTAACTGAAAATGTCAAGTTTCTGTCAAAAACCGTGACCAGCTAAAGGCAGAATATATACACCAAAACCTGGCAGTTTGGAAGCTCATAGTAGTGAATGATTTTCATTCCTCACTGCTGGAAAGTTCAGAAGGAAGGCAGAAAATGAATGATGCAGAGTGTTATAAAAGTAAATACCATATGAAAATTCAGACAGAGAAAAAGGAGGTTTTTGAGGAACAGCAAGCATTTTTTAAAGGAATTTTAGCTTGTGGATGTGGGTGTGAGCTTGCACGTGTGCATCTCAAACCTGTGCTAACGTAACTCTGGAACTGCATTACTGAATAAACATGTAAGATATATCATGACACTTGTGTAAGTATATAGATTCACAGTCACTGTGAGAGCACTAAATAACAATATACTTTCCTATAAATACCTCAGATCCAAAAGTAAAAAACTCCTCGAAGGAAAGGATTGAATTCAGCTATTAAAGTACATCCAATTCTATTTGGATTGCAATTGGACTTTATAGCAGTTGCATCCTCTTATACTGAGGCTGAATTTGTCTTTTAAGAAATCACGTTGCAAAAATATCTGCCTCAAAGTGAATTTGTCATAACAGTTTGGTATGTGATTGAATAGTGCCATTTCTGAAGGCCTGCACACCTGCAGCAACCACTGAAGTGCTGCTGAAGCCCACAAGTCACTAAGGGCAATGGGATACTTTTAATAACCAATTTTCATGTTAGTTGCCCAAGCTGGAATTTAGAAGCCATATCTTAGACTGTCTTGTGAATGTATATTTATATGCTTTCTTTTCTTTTTTTCCCCACTTTTTTTTTTTTTTTCCTTTTAATCCTTGGCGACATGAATAGTGAGCGACAGAACCACAGAATGACTGAGGTGGGAAGGGACCTCTGGATGTCATTTGGTACAACCCCACTCCTCAACCTAGAGGCAGTTGTCCAGGACTTCGGATGGCTTCTGAATATCTCCAAGGATGGAGTCTCCATAAGCTTCCTGGGCAAAATGTGGCAGCACTTGGTCACCCTCACAGAAAAAAAGTGTTTCCTGATGTTCAGAAGGAATCTGTAGTGTGTGCCCACTGCCCCTGGTCCTGTGTCTGGGAACCACTGCAAAGAACCTGGCTCAATCTTCTTTGCACCATTCCTTCAAGTACTTATACACAGTGATAAGATCCCTCTTGAGCCTTCTCTTCTTCAGGCTGAACAGTCCCAGCTCTCTCAGCTTTTCTTCATAGAAGTGGTGGTCCAGTCTCTCAATCATGTTTGTGGTCCTTCGCTGGACTCTCTTCAGCATGTCCAGGTTTCTCTTGTACTGGGGAGCCCAGAACTGGGCACAATACTCCAGGTGTGGCCTCACCAGTGCTGAGAAGAGGGGAAGGTTCACCTCCCTCCACTTGCTGCCAATGCTTTGTCTAATGCAGCCCAAGATACCATTATCCAGTTTTGCTGCATGGGCCCACTGCTGGTTCTTGTTCAACCTGGTGTCCATCAGGACCCCCAGGTCTTTTTATGCAAAGCTGCTTTCCATCTGGGTGTCCTCCAGTATGTCCCAGTGCCTGGGATTGTTTCTCACCAGGGTCAGGACTTTGCGCTTCTCTTTGTTGAACTTCATGAGTTTCCTGTTGGCCCAGTTCTCCAGCCTGTCAAGTTCCCTCTGGATGCTAGCACAACCTCCTGGTGTATCAGCCACTCCACCCGGTTTGGCGTCATTAGAAATCTCGCTGCTGGCACACTCTGCTCCAGATCCAGATCATTAATGAAGATGTTAAATGGGGATGGACCCAGTTATGACCCCTTTGGTACGCCAGTAGTTACTGGCCTCCAATTAGACTTCAGACCACTGATCACCATGCCCTGGGCCTGGCCCTTCAGCCAGGTTTCAATCCACTTCATTAGCCTCTTATCCAGCCAATAACATCTCTAGGAGGATCTTTTGGGATACAGTGTCAAAGGTCTTAGTGATGTCCAGCTAGACAGTATCCACTGCTCTCCCTTCACCTACCAGGCCAGTCATTTTATTGTAGAAGTTTACAAAGTTAGTCAAGCATGACTTTCTCTTGGTGAAGCTACACTGACTAGTCCTGAGGATTTACTTGTCCTTGATGTGCCTGGAAACGGTTCCCAGGATTAGCTGTTCCACTGGCTTTCCAGAGACTGAGATGAAGCTGATGAGCCTGTAATTCCCTGGGTCATCTTGCTTGAAGATAGAGTGCCATTTGCTTTCCTCCAGCCTTTGGGCACTTCTCCCCATTGCCACGATCAACCAAAGATTATCAAACCTTGGCCTTGCAATGACATCTGCCAGATCCCTCAGCATCTCTGGATGCATCCCTAAGGGCTCATGGGCTTACGTACATCTAGTTTGCTTAAGTATTCCATGATCCTCTTGCACCAAGGGTACATCTTACTTGCTTCTTGCCCTCTGGTCTCTGGGACCTGGGTTTCCTGAAGGCCCGTCTTGCTAATAAAGACTGAGCCAAAGCAGGTATTCGGTAACTCAGTCTTTAATATGTTCTGTGTACTGAGGTCTCCAGTTTCATTGAGCAAAGGGCTCATGTTTTCCCTAGACGTTCTTTTGTCACCTGTGTACTTATAGAAGCCCCTCTTGTCTTTGATGTTCCTGGTCAGATTCAATTCCATTCGGGCTTTAGCTTTCCTAACTTTGTCCCCAGATGCTCAGACAATGTTACTGAATTTCACCCAGGTTACTCATCCTTGCTTCCACCCTCTGTACAATTCTTTCCTGTCTCTGAGTTTTGCTAGAGTTCTTTGTTCATCCATGCAGGCCTCCTGGCATTTTTGCCTGACTTCTTACTCATTGTGATGGAACACACTTGAGCTTGGAGAAGGTGATCCTTGAATCCAGCTATCTTAAGCCTCTTT